CTCTCTCTCTCTCTCTCTCTCTCTCTCTCTCTCTCTCTCTCTCTCTTTTTGGATTTTCTATATTTTTCAAGCGAAAATCAAATTGATTGAATGATCATTGAAGGAAACTGGATTGACAACAACAACAACAACAAATAGTCAACGATAATGAAAAATTTTGTCGGATTTTTCCCTCTCTCTTTTTTTTAATCGGATTCTATACGATCTAATGATGTGAAATGAAGAAGCAAGCAAGCAAAAATCCCAAAAAGAAGCTTTATAAATAAAAAATTTTTTTTTTTATGGGATAAAAGTCATTCAGTGAATGACAGTGGGAAAAAAAAGAGATTCATCTGGTCTTTTATCATTCGATCAAATTGTTGAATTGGAATTTTTTCCGTGACTTTTAAAAGCAAAAAAAAAACTATAGATAAAATCATAACATTTGACAACTAATCAATCAATCAAATTGAAATTGAAATCGAAATTGACAACAGTCAATTTTTTTTTCTTATTATTATTTGAATCAGGCAGACACAAGAAAAAAGTGAGAAATGAAGAATTGTTTGAACAAACATTGTGTGTGTTTGTGTGTGTGTGTGTGTGTGTGTGTGTGCTATGGATGAAACATGAAGTTCTATGAATTTTCTACACTTGACACGTATACAAAACTTTTTAGTTTGAAGGGGGGAAAAAAAGAGGAATTTTTCTTTTCTTTTTCAAATTGCAACAAAACAAAACAAAACAAAACAAACACATTGGCAATATACACAAAACAAAGAGAATCGATGAATTTTTCCAAAAACCTTTTTTTTTGTTTTATTTTCAATCGATATACACCATCACCATCACCATCGTAGCTATTTTCACTCACACACAGAGAGAGAGAGAGAGAGAGAGAGAGAGAGAGAGAGAGAGAATTATCATTGGGGACCAAAAGTGAAAAACAAAACAATGCATAAATATTATTTCATTCAGAAATATGAGAAAAAGAAAAAGAAGTAAAAAACAACAACAACAACAGAATAAAAGTTTATCAATTTGATTATGCAAATTTTATAATCATTCTTTATAATCATCAAATATTAAACATACATTTGGTTTTGTTTTTTTTTTTTTTTTGGATTCTATATTTGGCTACATATTTTAATACATTTTCATTGATCAACAACAACAACAACAATATTTTATTTAATAATAATAATAATTATGTTGATTACAAATTTTAGCCACGTTCGAACATAGGATAGATAGGATAGATAGATAGGATAGATGGTTATCATTTGAAAAGCCATTTTGGTTAATGTTTTTCATCAGTGTTCGTCATTCAATGATTCAATGTATATTTTCTATACAGGACAAATGAAATATAAGTGCTAATAATATTCAACAGCATATTCTTCTTCACATTATCCTTTTCTTCCATTATTATCACATCTTAATAAGGCTTTAGGCCATAATATTTTAAAAAAAATGTACAGAATGGAATAGATTCAGACTTTGCTTGGCTAAAATAGATGTTTTTTTTATATATAAAGAAATTCTTTATTATTATAATAATCATTATTTAGCCTAAAGTATTTTGAATTTTTTTTTTCTTCAAAAAGAAAAACATTGTTCATTTTTTTCCATAAACTTTTTCTTTCTATAAACTTTCTCTCTCTATATTTACATAAATGACTATCATCATGAATTCATTATTTGTATAATGAAATCATTATTATTAATGATAGAAAAAAAAA